TTGCAGCTACTGAGACTCTGGCACCACTCTACCCCAGGCCATTGGGCCTGCAGAACCTATGGCCCTCCTCTGCCTGTTCAGAACTCTGCAGTTCCAGACAAGCTGTACCTTAGGGACACTGTGTGCCCACCTGCCTGCTGGAAGCTCCACAGTTCTCTAAGCGTAGCCAGGATGCAGAGGCGGATGTAGACACCTCAAACCCAACTCTCCACTTCGCTGCACCCAGAAGCTTGGAGGGACCCAAACAGTCTGGCCTTTGGGCAGAGTGCACTGAGCACTCACCACAGGCTGCAGGGCCTCTGGAACCTGCGATGCTCCACTGCCGCTGAGACATCTACAGTCCTCCAGACACACGGAGAGGCTGATGCAGGTGCCCCAGATCCGCCCAGTTCCTCCCCTGCACACCGATCGTGAGGTGCAGGAGCCCCAAACAGGCTGGGCTCCAGGGATAGCATGCGCCCGCCAACCCGTTGGAAGCTCTACAGTTCTCCAAGTGCAGCCAGGATGGGGAGGCGGATGTAGAGGCCTCAAACCCACTTCTCCACTTCACTGCACCCAAAAGACTGGAGGGTCCTGAACAGTCTGGGCTTTGGGCAGAGTGAGCTCAGCACTCACCACAGGCTACAGGGCCTCTGGAACCTGCGATGCTCCACTGCCTGCTGAGACATCCACAGTCCTCCAGACACACGGGGAAGCTGATGCAGCTTTGTTTCTGCTTTGGAGCCCAGTGGTCATGGACTCAAAACTGAAATGTTGAGCCAAACTAAATCTTTTCTCATTCAAATGAAGGTGTTTGATATTTTGTCGCAGCTACAGAGAACCTGACCAATGCAATGTTCAATCCTGAATGCTGTATCTTTTGCATGACTCTTAAGTCCTTGCTTTTTGTGAATGCTGGAATTTCTTGTTCCCTCAATGTTCTACACCATTTCAGTTCCCCCCTTCCTAACTTCCTAACTCATGGCTCATGCATCACGTGGGTAGGCATAGAAACTCAGATTATTCAGACATTCTCAAATAGTTTTGTATTCCCATTAAATGGAAACTCTTAAAAAGTAAATGTATAGTGGAGAGTCCAGTCAATACTCCGTCATCCAAGTATCAAGTTCAGCACAAGCATTGATAAGTTATGGGAACATTGTGGACACTTAGTGTGACCTATTGAGAAAGGCATTTACATCTGTATCTTCCTTCCATGTATCCATCTCCATCTCAGCAGGCCATTCATGAGAACAACACAGGGAAAACCCGGAAGGAAGGACATTCTATTGGCTGGTAGAACTCAAGGCATCAAATAGCCATGGAAGGTCCGAGAAGCTGTCCTAGTCTAAAGAAGACTTTAGAAAAATGTAACATGATGTGCCAGCTGAATAGATGTAAGTTAGTCCAAATAAAGTTTGACTTTAATTAGCTGTAATTTAGCAGTATTGGTTCCTTACTTGTGAGTAGTATAAGATGTAAAACTAGGACTCATGTATGTGTCTTTGTGTGTGTTTGAGACAGAGAGAGAGACACACACATAGGAGTGTAATATTTTTGAAAATCTTCTGTAAATGTGAAACTGTTCTCTATCAAATGAGTTATTCAACGGAAGCACACTATGAAATAATTTTAAATGTCTTTACTCAATATCTTTCCCTGTCTCTTTTCTCTCTCTCTCTCTCTCTCTCTCTCTCTCTCTCTCTCTCTCTCTCAGAGATAACTTCCTCAAATTACTATAAAATTGGGCAGAAGATGAAGTAATGGAGAATGCTGAACTATGGAGCCCTAGCTATGAAAACAAAGTATTTAAAGTCATTATTAATGCGGGTAAACAGGAATCATTGACAGGGATAGAAAAATCTGGAAGCAGAGTAGATAATAGTACTGTTACATATTCCAAGACATCAGACATCAATGTAATCAGTGAAAATTTTTAAGGTTGTAATAACACATAAGAAAATATTGCCCCGCTTGCAGATAAAAATCCAGTCTTGTGGCAAAAATTTCCAAAGTTTGTCTATGGAAGAAAGGTAGGGTGATGGAAGTCTGTTTTATGCACTGAAATATGGGCTCTGGACAGACTCAGAAAGCATACAGGAAATGCAAAATATAGGAAATCTCCCAGAAAGATTCAAATACTGCAAGGAGTTGCTCTCTCTGTATTTTGTACTTTTTTCCTCCCTGATTGTTGATTTGATATATTGGCCACTTCTTATGCGAAGAAAACACAATCAGAAAGGCCAGGCACCCACAGATTTGCCAGGAAAAAGGAGCGTAGGGGCACTTTGTAGGAGCAGGGAAATGGCCCAGCTCGAGGGGGAGGAGCTACAGGGCAGTGCCTCAGTCACATACTCCCTGGAACCTCAGGTGTACACTCCACATCTCAGAAGTTCAACTTTCTCATCTGTAAAATAGAGTCCACGTCTGCAAGAATCGTGATAGGGACACAACCCAACAAATATAAACAAGATAAGCCAAAATTTAGCACCTCAGTCAATACAACATGGCACTTTTGATGAGAAGATGTCACAGAAAACACGGGATAGAGAAATCAAACGGATTGGCTGGATCACTGAAGCAATACAATAGGAGATGGCGGCTGTAGGTGAGGACCTGAAGTGCTATGGGACTGGGGTGTGGAGATCCTACAAGATAAATCTATGGGAAAGAGAACATTTGTGGCTGGAGAGAGAAATATTTGATGCTAAGATGTCTGAGATGAAGACTTCCCAGATGATGATGAGAACAAGTAGAAAAAGGAGCAAAGCTGGAGCAAGCAGTGTTTGGAGATACCTGGTAAGTAGATAGTCAACACAAGGAAAATATATAGGAATAAAGGAAAAGTTGAAAGAAACAGGGAGATGGAAAAGTAAACAGGCATTGAACGTCACAGTGAAAATTATGAATGTACAAACCAGCACTGAAGTGGATACGACAAGAGAGTTTGGCCACTGTGGCTAAAAAGGAGAAACCATGATATACTAGCACTGGAATCGATCTGATGTTACCCTATTTTAAGGATATTTGAAGGAAATTAAATTTACTTCATGTAGCAATCTATCAAAGTAAGTTACGTCTTCTAAATGGGTTTGTTCCAGATCGTCATCCAAAGAAAACATAAGTCTACATGCACATGGAAAGAGACAGTCTTAGCATATGGCTCAACGCGTGGTTCTGGGATTTCACATGCTGATAAATAACATGAAAAAATGTGGATTTCTAAGCGCTGATATATTGCATTTCAAGTTCAGTGAGCTAATTTTGCCTTTGCTATTTGATTATGACTTTATACACCACTGGGATTCATAGGGTTCTTCTACATCTGCACCAAATTTCTCATAAACAAAGATACCAACCATAAGAGTAACACCAGGTTTTCTAGAGACAAGGTGTGGCTACTAGAAAAAAAACAAAAAAGATTATCATTGAATTGTGTGGGTCTACAGTTTTCCTGACTGCTCTTGAGTTAAACCTGCAGTTTCTGGAATCCCTATCTGCGACTCCTTCAATGCACTTATTTCCTCATGAGATTTAGTCGCTATCTCTTGGATTTTCTTTCCAGGTTTCCCCAATCTGTTCAGTCCCGTGTGTTCCATTCCCTTTGGGGACTTAGAGGCGCTTTTGAATGATTTATCATCCTTGTTCACCAAAAATCTATCTTCAGCTGACTTTCCAATCTCATTTCAAGTGGAAAATAAGAAGCCATCAACCTATCCTTCCTTTGTGCTCATAGTATAGAAATTATTGACATGATCTGTATTCTGGTTATGAAGGTCTCAACCTGATTTGTGGCTAAGCTCTGATTTTTCCACTCCCTTAGCTCTCTGTCTTTCTCATTATCGGTTTTTCTCATTTCGGAACCTTCCCCCAAGATCACAAATAAACCCCTCCTTCCTCGGTTTAAGTCATCACACACACTCACACACACACGGCAGTCTGTAGCACCCCATTCACTAATTCTATTCCCCTACATATCACTGACTTATTAATACTATTCTCAAGAGAATTGTAAACTTACTTCTGAATTCTTACTTTTAAATTGAATTGCATTTGACTCGTAAGAAGGATTAACAAGCACTTTTACGATACCAAATTCCAGAAAATAATAATAGAATACACATATACACTTTGACTCTGAACATAGCCAGTGGCCGAGGGTAGAATTTTTAAGAAAACAGTAGGAAGAGTCATTAGGTCTTGGTAGAAAAGCAAAGCCCTGTGGGATTAGACAGGCTGGGCTGGAATTGTGGGACCATGTTGAGCACAGTGTCTGACAGAATGCATTCTTCCGTGAGCTGCTAGGAAAAGCAAACTTTAAAGTAAACCCTTGCAAGAAATAGTATCCAGTAGTTATGGATTAAGAACTGATGGTCACCTTAATGCCAGCTGGATTAGATTACATCAGCATGGCATTCAGCAAAAATGCTCCACCTGAGGAAAGTTGCCAGGATAAACAGAGAGGTAGAGAAGTGGAGGGGGGGGGCATTAAGGCATTAATGCGTTAATGCATTAATGTGTTAATGCATTGCTGTGTTCAGACACTGAGGCATTGTGGGTTCTCCTATGAGTTGTTGTTTGAGCTGTTGGTTCTCCTGGAGAAGCTTTGGTCCTCACATCGAGCATTGCTTCCTGGCTCTGGAAGGGAAGACTTGTGCTGGTTGGTCTTGAGGATAAACTCATCATGCTGGTTTCCTGGGATGTATCTGACTGTGCTTGTTGTGCTTGTTGTCCTAAGTCCTTTTCAACTTGAGGACAAACTTGAGTTCGGAACAAATTATACACAAAAATGTATTTCAGACTATAGGTTTTGGAAGGTTTGCATATGCATAATGAGACATCTTGGAGACAAGGTGTGAATAGAAATACAAAATTCACAAGGGAGAGTAACAGTGATCAAGATGTGATATGGAAATGTACCCCAAGACAAATACAATTATTATGTATCACAAGCATACACTAAAGAAATGTAAAATTGTCGATGTCGCTCCTGGCTGGCAGGAAGGACACACGACAAAGTCTGGCAGTGGACAACCTTTTCTTTTATTTTTCTTCTCCGTACAGCCTGCCCTGGGATCGCTCCCAGCCGAAGCCTCCTTTGGTCCACTCCCCGCGGCTCCTTCTGGGCTTCTACTTCCGGGCTTCTTTTTCCCCCCCAGGGGTGGCACCAGTATATATACGGATACAGTGTCCAATCATGTTAAAGTAAGCAAGGCAAGCTGATTGGCTAACATCATCAGTTGCCAGGCAGACTATATTGTTGAGCGGGTTGCTTACGCGGTAAGCAGGAAACTAACGTGCTCGATGGGAGGGGTAATCTACCTCAGGCTTTACTCTTTACTACAGGCCTCACGTCTGCCAAGTGAGGCGACCGGGCTCGGGGCTGCGGCTCCCAACATCTCCCCCTTTTTTATTTTTTATGAATGTGCGCATCGTAGCCCTTTCTGGACTGGGTGCAGAGGCTTATGCCCTATGCGTAGGCCCACCGTAGGTCCTTGGCTTAGACCCTGGTCGGCCGTCCCATGGTCTGCCAAGGCCCTGAGGCCCTCGTCCTTTTTCTAGGGCCAGGCACAAACTGGACGGAACCTGGATGCACACAAGCTTGCACTCATTTCCTCTCCGTAAAGAAATCCCCTCGGAGAGAAATTTAGACCTGGGCAGCATCTAACAGTCCAGCGGCTTACGTGCAGGATGGGGTAGGGCCTGGCTTAGGTTGAGTCGCACCGGGGGAGTACGCTCTTACCCGTCATTGACTCTCCTACCCAGCTATATCATAATTTTTTAGAGGAGGAGTGTGGGAAGCTCACCACCCCTAGACTCGGTCGTAGGCTAGGCGAGCGAGCCATGCATATGCCTGAGGATCTTCTTGTCCATTTTGGGCTACCGCTATTTCTATTCATCTTGTTGGTTGGTCTGTGATGGATCTCCGGTAGGGCAGGTCTGATCTTCAGTCGAGGGCTTTGTCGCCCGTGTCAGTCTCTCCGGTACCCACAGTGGTTCTTGTCCCGATTCCTGTGGGAAAACACAAACCGCGCCTCGGTTCCAGCTGACCACTGGATCCGGGCCCATCCATTGTCCTGTCAGGACATCTTTCCACTTCACCCACCCTTTATGGTTGGGGGAAGGGTTGCAGTGCTCCACGGCTGGGGAGCAATTGTCATTATTTAAATTTAAAAAATTGTGTGTGAATAGTGCCATGGATAATCGTGCCTTTGGGGCCAGGCCTTGGCCTACTCCCCCTTTTTGTTTTTGTAAAATTTTTTTGAGGCTTTTATGAGCCCTCTCAATGATTTTTTGACCTTGGGGATTGTATGGGATACCATGTTTTAATTGAACCTCCATCATTTTGCAGAACTCATTGAAGGCTTTGCCTATATAGGCTGGTCCATTATCAGTTTTTAATATTTTTGGTTTGCCCCATGCGGCCCAAGCCGCCAGGCAATGATTGATCACATTAGACACTTTTTCACCTGTTTCTGCTGTTGCGAATATGACGTGAGAACAGGTGTCTGTGGAAACATGAACATATTTAAGAGTCCCAAACTCCTGTATATGTGTGATGTCCATCTGCCAAACATCACCAGGGATCAAACCTCGAGGGTTTACTCCCATCGGTATGGCAGGTTTGTATGTGGCACAGGAGTCACATAGTCGCACGATATCTCGTGCATCTGCTCTGGAAACATGGAAATGGTTTGCTAGTGTCCTGGCATTGACATGAAACTTATCGTGGAAGGCACGGGCTCGCTCAATTGGTGTTAGTAAGGTAAAAATCCATAACGGGCGAGTGGCAGTATCAGCAGCCGCATTCCCCTGTGCCATGGGCCCCGGCAGGGATGTATGTGCTCTTATGTGGGTGGTGAAGACCTTATGGTGTCTGTTCTGAAGCAATGTCTGGATAGACAGGAACAGCCCAGCCACTGTGGAAGTGGATCTAATTAAACCGGCAGTCTCAAGCACTTGCATAGCATTGACCACATACCTAGAATCGGAGACAATATTAATGGCTTCTGAGAACCGTTCAAGAATCATTTTAACGATCTGCAGTTCCACCACCTGAGGCTGATCAGGTTCAAATTGTATGGTAACCGGGGGCTTGCCTAGGATCACATAGGCGCCTATCCCCGTCTTGGAGCCATCTGTGTATATTGTAGTTGCTGGGACTAATGGCTCAGAGGCAGTAACCTTTGGAAAAATTATAGGGTGTTGAGTGACAAATGACAAGATAGGGTCTTTAGGGTATTGATTGTTTATATCCCCATGGAAAACACATCTCAGAATGGCCCATGTATCTATGCAGGCAGCCAGGGTCTTGATCTGGCTGGCGGTATAGGGTACTCGGATGGCTTGTGGTCCTGAGCCAAAATGTTGGACAGCTCTATCATGCGCTTCAAGGGCCAATGAAGCGACTGCCTCCGGGTAATGCTCTATGACTTTTGCAGGTGAGACCTTAGGGTGTATCCACAGTAATGGTCCTTTCTGCCAAATCACCGCTGTGGGCTGTAGACTAGTCTGTAGCAAACAGACATCAAAGGGTCGCCCTGGTTCAATTTTGTGTAAGGTAGCCCCACCTAAGGCTTTTTTCACTCTCTGTAAGGCAGCTCTTGCCTCAGGAGTGAGCCTCCTGTGGGAGGCTATATCTGGGTCTCCCTTTAGAAGGTCGAACAGGGGTTTGAGATCTGAATTTGGTATATGTAAATATGGCCTAATCCAATTAATGTCTCCCAATAGCTTTTGTATGTCATTTAGGGTCCTAACGCCATCCGTCTTAATGGTGACCTTCTGTATAAGTCTGGAGGCGACACTGAGGTCCACACCTGCTGACCCAGGGGTGGCCCTTGTTGAAGGCTGCCATCCTGAGCTGTCCTGTCTCTGGGGCGGGGGCCCGCCTGTGAAGGGGGCCCCCTCTGGCCGTTTTTTGGCCCTCTAGCATCTCGTCCACAAATACGGTTGCCCTGAGCATCAAAGACCGACCTACACTCCTCAGCTTTGTGTGATCCCCTCTTGCATCGCCCACAAACATATGGTTCTTTATTCCTAGGGCGAGGCCTAGCATCTGCATTGTTTGGGCAATGACGTTTAATGTGTCCTGGCTCCCCGCAGGCAAAACACCCTTTAGCCTTACATTCCCCTTCTAACCCGCGAGGTCCCCTCTGCTGTACAGCTGGGGCCAGGAGAGCAGCCACTCCCGAGTTGGAGAGCGGCCCCCCTATCTCTCTGCATATCCTAATCCAGGCGTTGAGGTCCTTGTTCTTATGAGGAGCTATCGCTGCCTTGCACTCCTTTGTACATTGCTCAAAAATCAGCTGCCTTTCCAGCGGTCGAGCCACTCCCGGATCAGAAAATATCTTATCGGCAGCATCTTGCATTCGGGCCACAAAGTCAACAAATGGCTCTGTGGTACCCTGAATTATTTTTGAAAGACACAAGGAGGCTGTTCCGGCACCACTTATCTGCTTCCAGGCGCGGAGCCCTATGGCATTAATTTGTTCATAGACAGCGCCGGGGAACTGAGTCTGATCATCAGCGTGCCGACCTTCTCCCATAAGCATTTCCTTGTTCCACCCCCGGTTTCCCCGATTGGCGTTTCTCTCAGCCTGCTCTGCAGAGAACTCTGCGTACCAGGCTCGCCAATCCAGGTAACTGCCCGAGGGCAGACACGCCTTTGCCAGCTGAATCCAGTCCGCGGGGGTGAGGGGCCCAGAAGACAGGTTCTCCAGCATGGCAATGGTGTAAGGCGCAGTCGGCCCAAAGGTTGTAACTGCATTTTTAAGTTCTCTAATCTGCTTTATCTCAAAAGGCTCCCATGCATTACGTCCCTGGCCCATAGCTACTTGTACAGGAAATATCCCGTAGGGGCCACTATCTATCCCAGGTGGTGGATGTACCTCATGAGACAAACGTCCCCCCTGCCAAAGCCGCCTGTAAAAATACCGACCCGCCGGCGGCGGAGCATAAGACGGCGGCCATGATTGGGCGGAAAATGGGGGCCCGTGCATCACTTCCTGTTCTGGCGAAGGGGAAGGGAGCTCCCGGGCGGCCGCCTCGCGGCGAGGGATCGCCTCCGGGAACACCCCCCAAGGTGGGGCGGAAGGCTTCGCCTCCCTCTCGCGCCGGGGAGCGCTCAGGAGCTCCCTACTCCTCCGCAGACCAAGTTGAGCGGAGCGCAATTCACGGCGCAACGCTGGGAAGGAACCCTGCGACTCCTTATCGAGCGACTTAGGCTCCTGACAGCTGGTCTCTTTGGCCTCCTTGCCATTCAACTTTCCCTCGTCCTCGGAGTCAGACGACTCCGAGGCTAGAGCCCCGTCCTTCTCCTTAGCATCTTTGTTCCCCTTGACGGGCCCCTCTCGGGAGCTCCCTGACTGGGCCTGCTCAAATACCCTGCGTACTTTTGTAAGCTCTTGAGAGCTTTCTCCACAACCACCCTCGCTCTTAGTGTTGCTACCTAGCATGTTTCCCATCTTTTAATATGTTACTCACCGCGTGAGGCCCAAGGAATCCGCCACTTACGCGTGAGCCTGAGGGGAGTCTAAAAGCCCTGTAGGTGCGCGCCACCCAGAGCCCAGGCTTATCCCCAACTCACCTGTCTCGCAGCTCTGTACTGGAGCGTTGTCCGCTGTCACGTCTCGGGGGTGATCAGTCCCCGTGCGGGCCTCCAAATGTCGATGTCGCTCCTGGCCGGCAGGAAGGACACACGACAAAGTCTGGCAGTGGACAACCTTTTCTTTTATTTTCCTTCTCCGTACAGCCTGCCCTGGGATCGCTCCCAGCCGAAGCCTCCTTTGGTCCGCTCCCCGCGGCTCCTTCTGGGCTTCTACTTCCGGGCTTCTTTTTCCCCCCCAGGGGTGGCACCAGTATATATACGGATACAGTGTCCAATCATGTTAAAGTAAGCAAGGCAAGCTGATTGGCTAACATCATCAGTTGCCAGGCAGACTATATTGTTGAGCGGGTTGCTTACGCGGTAAGCAGGAAACTAACGTGCTCGATGGGAGGGGTAATCTACCTCAGGCTTTACTCTTTACTACAGGCCTCACGTCCGCCAAGTGAGGCGACCGGGCTCGGGGCTGCGGCTCCCAACATAAAATCACTTACAATTCACATATGGCCTGTAATACAGACAGAAGGTAAATTTATAAATATATTCAGTATGCTTGCGTTGTTATTTTTGAGACAAAGTCTCACTTAAACTGAGTATGCTGGTGTGGAACTTCTTGAATCCTCCTGCCCCGGCCTTCTGTGTGGCTGGCATTACAGCTGTACACAATCAGGCTAGGATCTGTGCTTGTGTTTTGAGCTCAGAATGACTTGATGGGCATCATTTTCTACAACCTGTGGCTCTACCTGCCTACAAAGGACCTTGCAATACCAGGTAACAAAAGAGAGCATTTAGCAGAGACTCCTTCCACTTTGCATGCTTTCTGTTTACTTTTTAAGTAGACTAGAAGACAACAATGGTAAAATAAGGTGCATGTTCTCTTCCTTTGCTGTGACACAACACTTGAAGAGAACGACTTAAAAGGTGAAAGGATTTATTTTGGCTCACAATTTCAGAGGTTTCCATCCATTGTAAACTGGCTTCTTTGTCCTTCTGCTAGTGGCAAGGCAGAAATATTACAGCAAAAGGATGTGGTGGAGTAAAGCTTCTCATCTAATGGAGGATATGAGGGAACACACACACAGTGAGACAGAGAGAGAGACAGAAGAGACAGAGAGACAGAGAGAGAGAGAGACAGAGAGAGGGAGAGAGAGGCTAATGCCTCAAGGGTATTCTGTAAGGCTACACAGCCTTCAGTTAATCTCTGCTTCTTAATTGCTTCCACTTTCTGATAGCCTATCAAATTATGAGCCCACCATGGATCAATCCATTGACAAGGTCAGAGCTCCCATCCTCCAATCATTCCCTAAAGGTCTCCTTTCTAAACATCACTACCTTCAACATAGGAGACTAGTCAACATTTCAGATTCAAACTATATCAACAGCAAACAGGAAGAGATCCAAGCCCATGAATCTACGGTCCACAGTGTGTAGGGCTGGCTTCCTGCCTGGGATGCTGAGCTATGACTGACAAATGCCCAGCAATCTCTGTCATCAGATCTCAGGATGTCAGCAAGGACAGCCAGTGGGAGTCTGTGCTTATAAAATGTGCCAAAGACAGGATCAAAGAGCCCATGAATATATTTCGCTTTCAACAAGTCACTTAGCCTTGTACTGGTGAAGGCCTCTTGGGTGACATACACAATGTACTTTAAACCAAATTATAAAAGAATGACATAATGTTCTTGGCCTAGGTACAGTTTCCAAGTTTTGTTACTAGTGCCAAAAAAACAAAACCAAGAATGGTCAGTACTTTAGTTGGGGAAACATCAGTGGTCTCTTGATTTCAAAAGTTCACATAACTATTTTCCAGGAAATACAGCATTTATAAGCAAGAAAACTTTTTAAAAATACAGGTAGGAGATCAGAACAAAATTGTCAAGTTTTTCAGTCTTGGCAGAACAAGATCACTTTAACATATTTAACATAATATCTTCAACCATCCTTCTGTTTCCAGACCCAATACAAGGAAGTTTTGTCTGATTTTGTTTTGGAGAACTACTATGAGAGGTATTGGTGTAGGCGGATTTTAAAAATGGCCCCGTGTGTTAGCATTCTGAACTCCCTAGTTTATGAATACACGGTGATATTTTCCTATTGTTTCTGTTGTACTGTGTCGCACCCTGTGTGTTAGAATAGGTGATTACCTGAGTGGGCTGAGTCAGCTGCATGAACCCTTAGACAACAATCTTTGCTAGGTGGTAGAGGAAGAAATGGAAAAGATTTACAGCTCTGGGAAGAGGTGCTTCTCTGTTGGTATCATAAAGCTTGTAAGAAGCTATGTGAAAGGAATCCAGCATCCTTGAGGCATTGAATGTTCCTAGACTGACAGCCAGTGAGGAACTGGGGATTAAAATCACAAGGTAATAGATTCTACCAATGTGTACATAGGGACTTGTCTAGATGCCTTCTGGTAAGAATCTGCCAACAGCTTCTGTATTCCCTTGTGAGAATTTAAACAGAGTAGCCAGGTGATACTTCTGACCCAGTGATCCCTTGTGACCCATTTAGTGGGTGTCATTTAAAGCTACCCTCTGAGTTGATTTTCTATGCAGCAATGGGATACTAATAAACGGGGAGAACAAGACGCAGGAAATCACTTCCTTGTTCAGTTTCTTTTCTTTTTTTTTTAATTTAGAGAAAGATAAAACAGAATCAAAAATGGGCCGAAATAGTACACATACTTTCAAAGAAAAGAAATAAACAGTAATAAATCACTAGTTGATGTATACATTATTGTCCCCCCACAAATAATTGTTTAAGATACAAAAGTGGAACATATAAATGGGAATTCAACCGGGGAGACTGCAAACCATTCTGTTAACTATCCAACAAAAACTATACACTTAGACATGTACGCATTTATCCATATCTTCATTTATGTTGAGACCTAACAAAACTTATTAGATTAAAATCATTCTGAACAAAGGTTAATAATATTGCTGGATTTCACATCATGACACTCCGGAATCGGCACTAGGTACTGCAGTGCCCCTTTCTTTCCTTCAAAGCATTTGTTCATTTCATCATGTGTCATCAGATCAGTTCTCATAAACTGTTTATAGGTTTTATGCAAGCATGAGTCTTAACATGTATTTCTATCCTTTCTATATTAGAGGGAGAAACAGAACAAAGCAGGACAGAACTAAACATATTCCTATATACACATAAAAATAAAAAGACATATAAAACTGCTGTATAAGGAGTTCTACCATGGGTACTGTGCTGTTTTTTTGTTATCATCAGTCTAATTGGCTATATCACCAGATAAAGTATAATTGAACATATCAGAACACACAACTGAATTGGCTATATCATCAGATAAAGTATAATTGAACATATCAGTGCATAAGAGAATTAACAGAAATACAACTTTGTAGATACTGTAGAACTACAAAAACAGGTAGTAATCAAATCAGAATGATATCGTGGTGATCATTGTCATTTTCAGTATAGTTTTCTATACTCAACTTGATACTATCAACCTAACAGTTTTGATTAAAATCTGTCAATAATACACAGTATTCAAACAAGTCAGATTTAACCAAGATCAGTCATGATACAACTGTATAAGTCATACAGGGATCCTGATTGAGTTAATAGGAAATTAAAGATGACCACTGTGCTGTCTCCTGATATCAAGCTGCACTTGTTCAGTTTCTTTAGCAAACTGGCTTTTTTCATTTTCCTTATTCGAACAAGAAAGGCTTATTATAGTGTAGTCCATTTGCTATAATCAAGCATATGGGCTGGGTTCAATTCACCGTCTGTTTACACAAATAAAGTTTTATCAGAACACAGCTGTGTCTGTTCAGAGGCATGCTTTCCCTTTAGAATGGCAGAGTTGAGTTCCAGCCCAGAGACCACACAGTTCACAATTATGAAAGTAGTTCCTCCATGGCTTTTTACAGAGAAACTATCTTGATCCTGCTCTATACCTTAGAAAGGACCGTGTTTCTCAGAGCATACCACGCTGGCTAACATGGACAGCTAGAGCAAACTGTGTTTTTGTCACCTCCCAGGTGACAGGTAACACTCTTAGGCTCATTTCACCAATTAGCAGTCTTAGGAAAGTGAGAGAGTTCGCCTCCCCCTTCTCAGGTTTTCTGGGTTTCTTCTTAGATTCTCTTATTATAAATGGTATGAACCGTATGGTCGTTGTGTCTTCAAGCCTTTGTTTCCTCTGACCCACTTCATTAACTCAGATGCTCAGTGCTGGGGGAGGGAACTAACCTGATTGGTGGGGGGGGGGAATTAGTGAGTCTTTTAGTGAGTCTTTACAAACGCTGTCTGTAGAAACAGTGGGTGACAGCATTGTCCTTCATGGAGATGCCAATCACAAGGCCAACTCAAAGACAAGTGCAAATGTCATTCTGCCTGGGGTGACATGTTCATTTTTCAGAAACAGCTTGATAGCAACCCATGCTTGAACGCCTAATAAAGACTCCCCACGTATCCCCGGGTGGGAGCTGCCTCATGTGTTGAAAAAAAATGTGGCAGAAATTCCCAGGAGCCTCACCAAGAACTCCAACTTACTAACCCCCATCCTTTGTGACAAAATTTCCAATTCTGCACTCACGACAAGCAAATTAGAGCAAAACTATTGCGCAGAAATAAAAACTTGGTTTGCATGAAGTGATATTCATGTGAGTCCTGCCTAGGGGGTAAATTCATGAATTTCTGCTCTTTTACTTCAAAAAGGGGTAAGAGTTTAAGTAGCTACCTCTCTTGTGGAGTCTTCTTCCCCCAAAAGGCATATCCTCAGTCTAGTTATGAGACAGACATCAAAAAGTTGGAATTAACTCTATAAAACACCTGAGCAGTCATTGTCAAAACTACCAAAGTAAAGGAAAATTAGGCAAATCTAATAAACTGACACTGTCAAGAGGGGTCTAAGGAGACAGGATGCTGAGAGCCATATTGTACTACTTCGAACTAGAAAAGGCACATGAGGTAAAAAGGAAACATGAAAAAGCACAAAATACAAAATATGAAAGTTTAGACATCAGTTAACAGAACATTTTAAACTGGTTTATTCATGGTGGCAAAAGCACTAAGTTGGTGTAAGATAACACAAAGAATGCAAGCACAATATGAGATACAAAGATAAAAGGTTTTCTGTTTTATGATTGGTCAATCTAAAACTCTCCTACAATAAAGAGCTTGTTTAAAAATAAGTATGGTGAGTGCACATGTCTGTGTGTGTGAGAGAGAGACAGACAGACAGACAGTCACAGACAGAAATAGAGAGAGACACAGAGATAGAGACATGCAGAGAGAGACAGACTGAAAGAATGCAAATTTATGGAAAATCTTACAGGATATGTAACAAATGGGATGTTGTTTACTTTTGGAAAGGAAAATAGTACCAGGGCTAGAAAAAATGGAGTGTGAGAAGAGATTCATCCATTTTACTCGGTGAAATTCTCTGGTGTTTAGATAGTTTATAGTCGCAAAGTGATTATGTATGAATTTTATAGCTAACAAAGCATCAGTGCTCTTATGGTCTTGTCACCCATTTGTGGTGAACTTGTTTATAATTTTGACATGAGCAACTCTGAATTACATTTGTAATCTCATCTACAAATCTAAAGAGATCTTAAAAAGTAAGATCATGATATACTTTGGAGTCCTTATCTTTCAAAATTCTTGCTTTATCTTCTCACAGTGAATATTACTAAGGAAGGGAGGACCTTTTTTTTAAAGTGGCAGACAATTTTAAACAAGAAAATGATGATTTATGGAATAATGTATTGGGTTCCTGCCAGTTCTGTTTTCACAGAAGTGGACAGAGAGAGAGAGAATTGTTTCCACTCATTTCTCCCTTGATGACTTCAGGTCTTATCTGATAAGTACGTGCCAAAATAAGACTAAGTCAAATCATTTTAAACATTTAGCTCTCGGGTCAAATTCAAATACTGTGCATATTTCTTTCCCAAAAACTCTGATGATTCAGATAATTGTGAGAAATTATTAAAGAAAAGGAAGAAATTTGGGTGCAAATCTTGTATTTGGAAGTTAAGTATACTGTACTTCACTGCTTTTCTTTTCTGTTTTTGTTGTTTGGTTTTGTTTTTGCTGTGACCAAATACCTGAGGAGCAAAGGTTTGTTTTGGCTCTTGATTTCAAAGGGCTCAGTCCATAGTTGGCCAGCTCCACCGATGTAGGATCAAGACAAGGCACAAACCTCATTGAAGAAGGGCATGGTGGAGAAAAATGGAGCCAGGAAACAGCAAAGGTGAGAAAGAACCGGTGAAGTATCGTCTAAAGATAAGACATAGCCCAGAAGGTCATGCTCATGATCCTCTCCCTTCATCTACAGCCAAATCAACTAGAAATTCTGCAGAACTAATTGGTCATCACTGAGAAGGTTTACACTCTCCTCATCCAATGACTTTATGTAAGCCCACCAGGGACATTTTAGATCTGAATGATAACAATTACTTTAGGCAAGAATCTTCTAGTTTAGACTGGCATTAAGCTAGTGGAATACAATCCTAAGAGATTACAGTTCTATTAATGGTTGTAGTAGGTGGATGTTAATTAAGGCCCAGTAAAATTTTAGTCTGTTAACATTGCTCCACTATACGTACTGTAATTAAAGCAATGATTTAAAACACCAAATATGAAAAAAGTGGAGCATAAAGCAGCAATCATAGTTGCAAACTGAAATCGTAGTATTTGGTCTATTGGGGTAAATAAAATAATTCCAATGGTTTCTTCTTCTTTAATGTGGCTAACTTTTGAAATCACCTAGGTACCTAAAATTTAGGCTTATGTCACAGTTCTACTATAGAAAGATGACTCAGAAGAACCACTGAAAATTTCCAAGTATCATTTCTAGCATTGTTTCAAGATTTCATAGAAAACATTCCAACACTACCTAGGGAATTTATTAGGAGCCTAGTTTTTCCTATGTAAATGTCAGAATTTTAAGTAAAATCATGTAAATTATCCTAAACATTCCAGCATGTTAATATGAAGTTTGGGCAAGAAAAAAATCACTGTTCATTTAAAATAATGACAGTGTGTGAGAGAGAGAGAGAGAGAGAGAGAGAGAGAGAGAGAGAGAGAGAGAGAGAGAGAGAGAGAGAGGATTGTTTCCACTCCAGTTTCTCTAAAAGTCTCCATCTGTGGTAGTGATAACTTTGGGATCTGCCTGGGGAATTGGTGAAGGACACTTCCAAATAGGTTTGGGAGGTCATAGACTTAGGGTTCCTGGTCCCTTCCTCTCTGGCAAGGTTCCCCTGCTCTACTTCCTGGCCTCCATGACCTAAGCAGTTTTGCTGCGTCATATCCTTCCACCATGATGTTTCTGTCTTAGAGTACATTAGTCCTCTCCTCCTTTAAATCATGGGTGTTGCATATCACATCCACCATGTTTACAGCTGCTGGGAGGTATACACATGCCTTCTTCTTCAAGGGAGTGTCTAACGTGAAGACAGGCAGAGCATCATGAATCCAAAAGTTTAACATCTAAAATGCTCCAAGATAGGAAATTTATTGTGCATGCACATAATTTCCCCTGTGAATACTTTTACACCTGACTTCAGGTCCTAGTCAAAAGGCTGGAACACTAAAATAGGGCATAAAATTCCCTTCAGGCTATGTATATAAAGTACCTGTGATGCCAGTGACTTTCTGTTTAGGTTTCTGTCCCCTCCTCCACATACTTCATTACATATCTGCAGTTTTCCAACTTCTGAAAAACTCCAAATAGAAACACTTCTGGTTGAGGCACTTTGGATAAATGATGTATTCAGCCTATATCAAAATGAGTATCAGCTTGCCTTGAAAAATACTTGAGTTTCTTAATCAAAATTATAATCCAAGGCAGTCTATGAGTCTTCCCAAAAATGTACAGCATAGGTCTCACAAGCCAGGAACCTTCTCAATCTTGGGGTCTGCAACAGGCAGAAGCAATCAAGCTGCTAAGTGTAGCCAGTCACAAAAGAACCTTTCTGAAGTTCCAGGACCCTCTACAAAACTGTAGTACAGGCTGGGCATAGTGGAACACAGTTGTAATCCCAGCACTTGTGAAGTTGAGGCAGGAGGATCGCTATGAGTCCGTGGTCAGCTTGGGCTACACAGTGAGTTCAGTGTCATCCTGAGCTGCATAGCAAGACTCTGTCTCACTCCCCACAACCCCAAATACTGGGTACAGCTGCATGAGCATTGATAATCTGCATTAACCCCTTACCTGTAAATGCATGACCTGCTTCCTCAATGAGTGTGATCCCTCAGGCATTCCCAGGAGATCCTCTCACGCTCCAATGCCTCCAGGCATTAAAAGTCTAGAGAAGATATAAACAAGATTTCATAGGAGGCTGCTTATAAACATACATTCTTCATAGGAAAAAAGGCAGAACTAGGGCAAGTATGAGGCATTTCATATCATCAATAGTAACAGAAGCTTGTTTTCTCTACAGAGGAACTTTGCCATTTCTTCAGATGAACTCACGATGTAGATAGCTTTCCACAAGACTCGGGCACACTGCCTTTCTGCTAATTGCAAGGAAGTTAGCTATTCCCACCTCCAATATTTATTCACTCTGACAAACGATGAGAAAAATGTTGTTAGGCTGAAGTGATTGCTTTTGGCAGAAGTTATGGCTTGCCTGTCTTCTGTGTGTTTTGACAGTATGTTCTCATTTTTATCATGGTTCAGATGATCTTGTAAGTGGTAAGGTCACACAGTTCTTATTTTGGAAATACCTATACAAATATAGTGTGGTGGAATGGATTTTTTTCTTCTGGGGGTATGGTAAATTGTGGACAGATAGAAGCTGATTTCTGCACTTATTGTAATGTTTTATCAAATAAAACACAGCATTAGGTTCAACTGACTGACCTCAAGCTATGCGTGAGCATCTTAATTGCAGAGAGATGAATACCTGATAAAAGACGGGGTAAGAGATTACTCTGAAAAATACCAAGGAATTCACCACACAATAAACCTAATTCTGAATTTGGCACTGACATCGTTACACCGTACTCCATAGACGGAGGTCATATTTCACTGCTGATATTATGTATCCCTGAGATGGGTCATGTTTTCCATTCTTGCTATTTTCATCTGAAGTACACGGGCACTTTGTCAGACAAAGCCACTCTACAAACCAAAGTAGCCACATTACTTCATGGGTCAAATGTTCACTTACTGAATTCCAACATGCCTGAAACCACAATACACAATTTTCTTGAAAATTTCATGAAGCAACATTGTTATGGCTTAGAATGGATCTAAAATGTTCCCCTAAAATCCTGTGTGATAAGATGTGGAGCTTTTGGAATGCGGTGAGATCGTGAGGGTGCTAACTTCATTAGTGGGTGGACCGATGGTTGAGAGCGTAACTTCAAGGCATTGTTGAGAGCCAAGGTAGCAGGTAGGGTCAAGTGGAAGGCAGCAAGTCATGGAGGAGGAGTATACTTAGAAACCATATCTGGACCCTTTTATTATGGCATGTTTTAACTTTTTCATGGCTGCCAGGACAGCAGTCCTTTTCCACCATCCCCTCCTACCATCATGTTTCTGCCTCAGCAGAAGCTAAGAAAAAAATGCATCTAGCTAAACAAAGCCTGAAACCATGAAAAAAGAAAAACCTTTTCTCCTCCAAGTTGTTTCTCCTGGACATGCAGCCACACTGATGAGACCTTTAATAACTCATTTTACCTGAAAATCTATTACACATATGGATAGAAGGGATTCACTTTTGTTCTTCATTATTCCCTTTCAAGGGTCCTGAGTCTCTTGAGGTTTCGGAGACATCATGAGTTTAGGAAATTACAACTCCCAGATGGAAAGATTCCACGGAGCTTCTTGAAGGTTGCAGGACTTATGTCTACATATGCAGCCACCCTTCAAAGCCTTATGCAGTCATAGATATGGCTTTTCCACCAGTGCCTGAATCTAAAGTGTGTGATTAATTTTTGGTGCAGTACAAGGTCAGGGTGCTGGGATTAAGAGTGGGTAATTAACAAATCAGTCCACTGATTGGTTTGGCACTGCCCTAATCTAGGTAGGCTCAATATAATACAAGGGACAGAAAGAGGCTCATCTTGTCTCTAGCTTGCTTTGCTACCTTCTGCTCACCATGGACTGTTTTTCCACTGTAATACCTGTTTACCTGTGGTTACCCACAGCCAGCTGACTATGGACTGAACCTCTACAAACTGTGAGCTAAATAAATCTTTCCTGCTTTAACTTTAGGTGTTGGGTATTTTGTCTCAACAATGAGAGAAAAGTCACCAAGGAGGTACAAAAACTTCAAATGAACATGCAAAAGACCAGTATTCCAAGGGGACAGAATGTCATTTGCAATACCATTCAATCCCTTGCTTTCCCCATCTGTTTACTTAGAAATCAGTTTGCAGAAGTAAACTCCTAGTATAATCAACCCAGGTCCCTCTCATGGAAAGTCACAGCACTAACTTTCTTGATCCAATTTCTGTCTCAAAACAAATGACTGTGAAATTCTAGCACCAGTCTATGACTCTTATTCCTTGTCTGCCTGGGCCCTTCCAATTCTCAACTCTTACCATAGGCTCAGTTATCTCCTGCCATTTAGAGCTCTTCACTCTGCATTGTGTGGGTCTCAGCCTGCTACCCAAGGGGCAAGAATTAGGTGCAACTCTCTGTTCCCATCTCTTTTTTTCTTACATGAATGCTTTGCTTCTGTGCCTACATACATTCTCCTGAAGAGTGCAGAATGTACATGATCGCTGTTCTGTCACCCTTGCAGGGAAATATGTACAATTTAACTCACCAGGAAAATCAATATAGATCCTCTGTTACAAAACAGAGGATGCTGTGGAGGTTGGTAAGATGATCTTGTGTTTGTACTCCTTCAAAAGAATCATGGATGGACACTGGATTTCCTCTGCTAATTCCTTGCAGGATTTTTTTTATACTTTCGCTTGTAGCTACATACACTGCTCAACACATTTATTATTTATTATGAACCTGTGTTTTCACTTTTTTGGCCTCTTTGTAGTCAATCTTGAGACATGTACTGCAATATAAGATGCTTTATCAATGTACACAGTAATGATGATTTATCTAAGTAGAGGTAATAATGTTATGCTATGATGGAGGTATTACATAGCCTTACAAACTCAAAAGAATTCTTAAAGGTTTCGGGTAAGACAGGTGTAAGGTTCTCTAAAGAAGGAAAAGAATTCTTAAATCCAAGCAATTGAGGCCATTAGGCATTTTCATACTAGACATTAATGCATTTCAATAAAGTTAACATCTTCTAATACTTCACAGTAATTAATGATGCAAATATATTAAAATATCCTCCATGGTAACAACTCATGAGCACTGTCCTTAAATGTTACCTAATATTTTAATGACAGTATTAATGATTATTCATCAACTACATTCCCAAATAACCCGAATATTCACGCTGTTGTCTCCCTCCACTTTCTGCACTGCCAGAGACATAAAACTCATTTACAAAATCATGTTGTTTATGGCTCTATGAATTTTAATAAAAGATATAGCAAATCCTGCTGTAAAGAAACTTTTATTATCTTAATTATATTTTTTTAAGGGAGAAAGACAGTATTGCAAAGGGGGTCCATGAAAGAAGCAAGTAGCTGTGTCCCCAAGGGAAGCAGTTCAATGGATATTCTTTGTCTGCAATCACTGGCTTCCTTGCTATCCCCTTGACTTCCCCAGGGCACCCTTTTGTCTCTGGGTTGGGCTGTAGCAGCTGTGTCCCAGGGGCCCTGAACTTTAGAGAGAGAACAGATTTTCAAGCTCAGGCATAAGTGTAATCTGAGTAAGGAAGGGCATGCATCACAGATTTCAATCAAGAAGAGCAGGGCTAGCTCTGGGCTGGTTGACCAGAAGTCAAGCCTGTCTCCGACTACTGCAGTGTGCCACCCAAATGTCATTCTCTCCATGATCTAGACTTGTAAAAGGCTCACAAGAGAAGTTTGGGTTCACTGCCTTGAAAGAAATTGCTTCAGAATTGCCAGGAGACCCACACAAGCTAATGACACTGCCGGACTTCCTGAAGTTTCCTAACAAATGTTTCTTATTTCCTTAGGCAAACACACAGCAGAATAACCCTTCTCCTGACAGTCTCTATGTCTGTATGCAGACCTGCATTTTATTTTATCATTCACTGTCCTGGCATTGAACCAAGGCCTTGTGTGTGCTAGGCAAGTGATGTATTTCTGAGGCACACCCTTGGACCTCTGTGTTAAGACCTTTAAATCCTTTTTACTGTCTGGTCCTCCAAGTGTTAAACAAATGATTGCATTCTCAGAACTTCATAAGGATATGTTAATATCTTAAGACATTTTCCAACTAAAAATATAAGCTTTGTTTGAGTCCCACAAGACACCAACACTATATGCATGGAAATCACAAAATTATATTTTTATTTCAAGCACATTCAGATATGCCAGTGTGTTTCTTTCTTCATGACTATGCTTTGAGGAAAAGGTGCTATATAACCATGTGAAACCTTAAGATAATTGAATTCATAAATTGCAGCCATCAAGCTCCTTCTATTCAGCTGAACACCTCTCTCAAATATGAGCCCTACAGAAGGTTGAATTAGAATTAAGAAAGCTTTTCATTTTTGTTCGTAATATTTTCCATTATTGAGGTATTTTAAAGTTTGCTTCTAGGTCAAGGAAATGTTGATATCAATCTTCATTTCAACTTTAAATGTTTCGTTTTACACCATCAAAGGCCAATTTAAAATGTAACTGTCTCCAACTGCAATTAGACACTTTGAGCTTTTCTTCACAAATGAAATTGCTGTTTACCTTGCTTTTCCCCAACACCTCCCTAACATTCTTGTTAATCCTTCTCCCACTTTGAGTAAATGGTAAGAACAGGAACTACTGATTTTTTGCATATGTAACACTGAGGTCATTTCATTTACTTCGAGATACAGGTATTTTTCTTTTCAACTTTGTTCTCTCTGGACATTGGGCTTCCTTAACTTACTGTAAGACAAATTGTTATGGTTTGAGAACTGGTGGTCAACTTAACGCCAGCTGGATTACATCAGCATGCATTGAGAGAAGATGCTCCATCTGAGGAGGGTTGTCAGGATAAATAGGTGGAGAAGAAGAGAGGTGGAGGGAAGGATTGAGGTGTTAAGGAGGCATTGTGAGTTCTCCTACGAGTTGCTGTCTGAGCTGTTGGTTCTCCTGGAGAAGCTCTGGTCTTCACATTGAGCATTGCTTCCTGGCTCCGGAGGGGAAGACATGTGCTGCTTGGTCTCCAGGATGAACTCGTCATGCTGCTTCCTGGCACTTACCCGATTGTGCTTGTCATTGAAGGAGCTTGCGGCCTCCGTGTCGTGGTGCCTTTCAGGACAGCTCCGCTCTTTGTTGTGATTGTGACTTCTCGGCTCTAGTGTAGAACCCTCATCCCACTAGCACAGCTCCTTCATCCTGCTGGCATAGATTTTCTGGCTTCCACCGCTGACTCTTGGGTCTTCCTGGCATGGATCTGTAAAAGAGACTGGCGTGAGTCCTTGTTGTAGGCTCTGGACTTCCAGTTGGACTCGTGGAGCCATTGTCCTGAGCTCTCAGTTTTTATCTGGACTCACGTGGAACATTGCAGTGGGGTTTAGACTCTTGACTAAATAATCTATGTCTTTGGTGCTGCAGATAGATTTCCTGCATTCTCTTGTGTGAACTTCCAGTGACCATTATAAACATATTATAAACTCCATATTCTGATCTGAATTGTTCTTTGTGTACAACCCCTGACTACAACAGAAATACAGGGTGAGATTGGTCATGGATGCTCAAATGTGTGTCTCCACATCTATTAGGCACCATGCCAACTATCAGCCCAAAGATTTTCAATACTGTTCCAATCCATTGCTATGGGCATCAGTTTCAAAGTCCTCACTTTGGTGTTTGGAATACTCCTATAGGCACACACACACACACACACACACACACACACACACTCCCTCCTGACAAATGAGCAGCCCAAAAGCAGAGCTTTTAAGAGGTTGAGGGTGTTTGATAAACACTACATGCGAGCATCCAATTAAAATTGATCAAGTGACTGTGTGACTGATGGAAAAACAGAAACAGGAATTTACTGAAGTAGATTAAACCTTAGACCGTTGGTCCATTACCCCCTTCAGGGTGTCCTTTAAAACATTCTGAAATCAACTTTCAGCATAAAGAACCTCACAGGATCTTAGAAATGGAGACAGAAGAGACATGTTGACCTCAGATCTTATTGAACAGGCTTTATGAGCTTCCTACCTTTTCACCTTACATCCCAGCATAGCTGCATTGTCTAATACAATAGCCGATGCCTACCTATAGCTTTTAAATGTTATATTGGAATGGGTTAAGGCAAAGTATTAGAAATTAATTTCCCAGTCCTGAGACCTACATAACATGCTGGGTGTCAGACACATGCTCATCCTTCCTGATCACAGTGTTCTGCAGGGCAGTCCTGCTCCATAGGAAGGACTCGTGCCTCAGGACGTCTTTAAGATTTGTGTTTCCATCATGTGCAATGAGTCTTTTATTGTCCTCCATAATTTTAGCAACAATTGCTGTAAGGAAAACACAAACAATGCATATGTAGCATTCTGGCAGTGTAATGTGGCTTTCTTTGTTATTTCTAAACCATCTGGAGCTCTTGTTCTCACTCAGTACCTGAACATTCCTCCACCTGATGTTCTGAATCCTTCTCAGATGTTTCCAAGTGTTACCTCCAGTGTTTGTTTTTGTCCTCAACTTATACTCACACAGCGCTCCAGGCAGACAGGAGGCTGGGGGTGCACTGATATATCCCAGCACTCAGGTAGATATGAGCCATAGACTGCACCTTCAAACACAGGCTGGGCAACTGAGCCAACTTAAGTGCGACCTTGTCTCTAAATAAAATATAATAATCATAATAATAATAAGACTTACAAAGTAGGTGAGTGCAAAATTCCTGGGTTCATCTTCAGCACCACAAAATCAAACAATAACAATTCCCCCAAAATCTCATGTGTGTATAGATAAGGATTTTGGAAGGTGACTGTATCGTACAAACTGTAACCTCATCTTTGGATTAAACCATAATTTGATGGCATTACTGAGAGGTGAACCCTCTACGGCATGATGTCTCCAATGACCCCAATGACCTGCTCCGAAGTGGGCCCCCTTCTAGCAGCACATTCAGCTGTAACTTTTCAATGGATCGATCCATTGGTGAGCTCAGCACGTCCTACTCTAACCATCTTCCCAAAGTCCCACCTCTTCCCAAAGGAATAAATGATAATTTGGGGGACATATTTTGACCCAAATCATAACACCATTGTACTAAGCCATTAGGAAACACGTGTGGCTTTTTCACATGGCTCTCGACAGCCTCGGAGGTCCTGCAATGGTTCAGACATTCTGGTGGTCCTTGATTATTATGAAATACATTGAAATGAAGTGTATGCTTGGTTTGATGATCATATAAAATTAAAGCTGAAATGTGTAAAGCTTAATTATCATTATAGTGACAAATCACTCGCTTTCTTGGTGATTCTCATCCCTGATTACAAGACACATCCTTGGAATTGATGTGGATGCCATGCCAATCAGTGGCTTTGTAGGTCTGCTTTTCAGAGTGTCATGTGTTAGAAGTAAAGACCGTCTTAAAAGTGATGCCCCATTGGTAAAGAACATCTTTCCAAGTGGGTCAATGGGTACTCATGCCAGCTCATCAAGACTCATTTGTAAAGGAAGACATGAATTAATTTGTCCTTAGAATTTATTCCTGGACTGCAAAATGCCCTAGCCCTGCTACAACAAACACAAACCTTGAGAACAGATGTGACCAAGGTTTGCCTTTGGAAATGGCACAATGGCCCCCAGGAGCAATTAGGAGTTATGACCTAAGAATGGAGACCGAGGGGCTCGGGCTCTTTCCTTTGGATTCATTGTGCAGCAGGAAAGGGTAGGATGGGATCCTATAGAGTCTGAGAAGGCAGATTCTCAGCTGGATGCCCCAAATACATTCATAATGACCCAGTGCAACAAGGCACTTTTACCCTCCGGTGGACGCCTCCATTGTGGCTGGACAGTTGAGAGTTGTAAAAGCAGGAAATAATTGACATAATTGTTTTCAGGTCCAGTAAGCAGATGTGTGTAACCCATAGCACATTGTAAACTTCAAATAAATACCATTGAAGAAGAGGGGGGAAAGACCATTTGATAGGAACAATAGTTTTTAAGCATGTCAGTAATAGTTTCTGAAAGTAAATTTTATATGACAAATTACTGAATAAGGCTGTAATCATTAGGGCGTGTTTGAGGTAGGAGGAGACACAATGGACTTTTTCAGTATTTTCCTCTTACTGCTCCTTTTCTGAACTAGCAAATTAAAGTACCTCATTGTCAGCTTCTCATTTTCTGTCCTGGGGAAGACTTGAGTATTTCCACTAAAAATATTGTTTGATCTCTTGAATGCCCAGGACAAGTTGCACTTGAAGGATAAGTTACCCTTATTCTTGCTACCATTCTTTTCAGTTTTCCTTCTTACACATCGCTTATATCATCTTAAATGTTCAACTTTTCTAACAGCTTCCTGGGAATAAACTAAACTCCCCTGGCTCTGTACTGTACACTACACAATGAGCATAACAGCTATGGCCATGTCTCTTTGCCTGTGTTTTTCTCATCCAGATGGCTAAAAACCACACCTAAATAGCAGATAGACAGCAATGCATCGTTGATCATTAAAATCAATCAGGGCTTCTAAAAATTTCCAGAAAGCCCTCAGGCATAGTTTTTTTTTTCCTGTTTTTGTTGTTATTCAACCCAACACCCAATTTTCACAACTGTTCCTTTGAAAGTTCACTACTCTCCAAACCACACATGCTTTGCTCTTTATTTTCAGTGGAGGAAACAATTTCTCCATCAGGTATAGTTATCATCCATTAAATAGGAACACTTTTTACCTTCCACCCTGTAACTGCAGTGAATTCCTTCTTCATCCCCTTCTTTGAAAGGATGGCATGAGGCTTTGGGGGGACATTTAAACACAATCCATAACACACATCAATAAGAATATTAAAATATGTATATTCTAAGATCTATCTGCTCAACTTCCTCTGATTCCTTCTGTCCTGACCCAAGCTACCATCTTGAACCTAAGTGAGCAGGACTGCTAACTTTTAACTGCTTCTGTCTACTCCTTTCTTTACTATTCTACTCAGTGGTGGAGATTTTACTGTGCTTTTAAAAACTCTGCACCATAGCTTGCCTCCTTCCTTTGCTCTCCACATCTTTCACTATGTCTCCACCTAGCAATCATTGTACCCTCAGATTCATCCTCAGAATTCTAGTCCCAGGAGCATTTGCTCAGTTCCTCAAACACTCACACACTTTTGACCCAAAATGTTATCTTCACAGCTCACACCATTCTCATCCAAGCCCCACGCCACTGGCATAGAAACCAAACATCAGTACCATGTGGAATCGTTCTCAATGACAAGGCTCAGAGCAGGTCTTGCCATAGATCATGCCACAATTGTAATGATATTTTTGTGATAAACTAATAAAAACCAGATTCTCTCTCAGTACTGTACTATAAAAATTTCTGTGCCTTAGTTACTTTTTACTCTTCACTGAAACAAACTCCCTGATGCCCAAATTTAGGGAAGAAAAATTTTATTTCTTACAGTTCTTGGAGGTTTCAGCCCATACTCGGTTGGCTCCAAGACAGTATGGCATGGCGGGGCAGCCATTCATGGTGGCTACAAACAGCAAGGTGTGAACCACCAAGAGAGAGACACACCTTCTTCCCACCCTTACATTGTAGGACCAGAAATTTAAAAGTTAAAAACAAGATGCTGTTTCTCAGCTAGAAACAGAACTGGGCCTCATGACTTAGATCAAAAAGAAAACATCTGCAACTGTGATATGCTCGGGCTGCACTGTGCCAGGGAGCTCAGAGATAAAGCCTGCCGATTACGCTAATCAGGGTTGTAAAGTATGTCAAACCCGAACCATACAGGGACCAGGTGTCCTAAAGATAAGCTGTGCAGAACAAGACAGTTAACTCTGACCCACTGGTCACCCCTTATGAACTAACCAATTACAAGTAGACAGACCGCCGACTATCCCGCGCTAACTGCTATGATTGGCTTCTGTATCAAACGCTTGCTTTGCGTTTTTTTCCCCTTAAAAGCACCAGCCTTGCCCCAACTTGGGGTTCTCTGTGCCCGCTTGTTCGGAGGACCCCATGTGCAAGGAGAATTAAACCCCTTTGTTCTTACATGAGAGCTGAGTCCTTGAGGTCTCCTTCGCTACACCGGTCTTACAACATCACATGTTGGCTCCACCCATAGGTGGGAATAGCACTCACACCACCAATCAGAGTGGTAGACAATCAACCAATCACAAATGCTTGATTTGGTTGAGTCTTAATGCATGAGGCTTGGGGGCCACTGACATAAACCGTAACAGTTTACTAAATGAAGTTTTGTTTTCAATTTTCTTTTGCCTTTACCTTAAAAAATGCTTTTGCAAGTGTAATCAGAGATAGCACCTTTTGATTCTGCACATTGTCCTTTGATTCTCTTGTCACAATCTTGCAAACTAGTTGAATACAGACTTGATATAGCTTATCATTTACAATCAAATATATATGTCCTTTCATTCTAAGGAATGTAGCCCAGTGTGAATTCACATTGGCAGTCAGCTCCTACTGCTGTACCCTTTTCATGAATTCTCAACTGAAAATCAACACTGTCAATTTCTTTCTTTGAAAAGCAAAGGCATTTATGTGACTAGTAAAAAGCAATTTCTTAAATGTACATAGCACCTCCCAAGAATTCATCATGCTGGGACTGGGAGGATCCAAGAAGAAGCCAAATAGCCAGAATTTCTAGTAAGCCATACAAGCCACACAGATTCTAAGAAGAGAAAAGTCAGTGCCTCCCATGAACCTCCCTGCATGTGGGTTGAGAATCACAACCTTCCCCCAACTCACCCACCATAAGCATTCTGCTGGTTCTGAGGATGTGCTGAGCTGATAGCAACTAAGGTACATAAAGCAACTAAATACTTGTATTATCTGGTTGATTTTGCAGCCTTGGAACCAGTGGTCTGAGCATCTCTTGGGAGGATGACAGTATGAATACAGCAAATATGGGGGATTTCCTCCTATTTTGTCTTTGAAATCCAATATTGTTCTCAGTGTTTTGTTTTCTTCTGATTGTTTTTGCTTTTTTCAATATTCTGTTTTGATTGGTTTTATTCTGTTTCGTTTTGGGTTTGATTTTGCTCTACCTGATGGAATGGACAAGTATGGTGAAGATAACAAGATATACTATGGTAGCTGTTGTTGTTTTCCTAGTATCCTGCTTTGAAGTTCTGTAGCAATTTTGCGGCTTTGATTTGATTGGCTTTGTTGTGTTTTGTTTTGTTGGATTTTATTATTTTTAAAATAAAAAAGTTAAATCTACGTAGCAAGTCTAATTACCAAAAAATGACTACTTGCTTCCATGAAGGTCTGATGTTACGTGCTCAAAAAAAAAAAAAAACTTGGGTTTTTTTCAGGTTTGGTTTCAAACAGAAACAACCACAACAGTAAAATAAAATAGCCTTGTAAACTGAATTCCGTGGTTTCCAACTTCTGGCTTGCATATAACCAATCACAGAATTTTAAACATTGAGCTTTAAACCAGGCAGCAAGATCATGAGATTCATGTTTATGATTTAGGAACTAACTGGTCTTCAAAATAAATATGCACTAGAGAAAAAAAAGGAAGCTTTTAATGATGTTCTTGGAACCCTTGTCTAAGTCTTCTTGTCCTATCTTTATAGATCTTTCCTCCAAATTCAGAAGTGCTTCTGTTACAGAACAAGCACAACTGTTTTTAATTGTCACAAAATACTCACTTCTAACCAAACTTGGCAGAGTAGATTTCGTTTACAGAGAAGAGGCATAGCTGTCTGGTTGTAATTATTGAACAGTTGTATAGTACATCTGCCACACATGTACATACCAGGCACAGCTTAAGAGCAACTGGTCATTAACATGAAATCATTTCCCCCTAAACCTTTGCACTATACTAATTTGGTATGACGGAGTTCTTCAAAAATGGTTCCCAAGCCGGGCGTGGTGGCTCACACCTATAATCCCAGCACTTGGGAGGCTGAGGCAGGAGGATTGTTGCGAGTTGGAGATCAGCCTAGGCTACAAAGTAAGCTCAAGGCCAGCCTGAACTGCACAGTGAGACCCTGTCTCAAAAAGACAAAAAAAAAAAAAAAAAAAAAAAATGGTTCCCAAGAACATGCATAGATATGCTGCATAGATATGCTTCAAAATTTGACTTTGCTACAATCAAAGTTGAGTATATAACCAACAGCATTATGGGTTTACATTACATTAAAATAGGTGAGGTTTAATTTCTGTTGGCCAATTTTAGGGAGGGAACAACAGCAATCATGTTGTTTTTCACATATTATGTATCAATTATCTGGAAAAGGATTGAAGCGTATTTTTTAAAAACTTTCACTTACTATGATAAATCATGTCACAGTGAATGGCTCTGTTTTATAAAACCAGGCCCTTTGATTGTAGAAGGGCAAACAGTTTCAGGGCAAAATCATGACACCCAGTGGCCAAAAGACTTCAAAAGCTGAGCACACTCTTCTGGCCCCCGTGTTTGGTATTATTACAATCACAACATAATCATTTTGTTAATTGGAGTGCTTGTGATTATAAAAAGGTAATGTGTTCCTGAACACGTTCCTATTTTTACACCTGTGTGCTCAAAAATTGCCTCTGAAATTTGAAAACTGCAGATTCTAGTGGTGTATTCTATGCAGTGATGTATGTCACTTATCTCTACAGAATAACGTGAACACAGCTCTTGAATACATACACACATTGCAGAAAATCTCATTCCGTGCTGGGCTTATCTCTTTTCCTTTTCAAAAAAAAAAATACTGTGAAAAGAAAAGTGAGACACATCGCTCCACTTGGGCAGCCATAACTGCGGTGGATTTTGTTTCAATATTAAGCAGGGCAGTGTATATAAAATGGGGGCTTTTATGACGGGTAAATTTATTCATCAGCTTTCTGTATTTTTCCATTGTCCATTTTCACATACTAGTGCTGTATTTCATCACTTGATTTTTATGACTTTCATAAACCCTGAGAAGGAAAAGTTCCAACCAGAGTCCAACTTTGGAACGTAATTGATTTGTAACTCTGTGAAAGTCCTTCGAGCCTCTCAACTTCAAGAATCTTTATTTGAAATATGGGATTAGAGTGTACATTATTTTTTTTTAATATGGAAAACTCATCCCTAGCATTTTTGTCCTTGTTGCAAGGATTACCTCACACACATGAGTTTGTACGTACACAAAGGCGTTCACAGGGTTTACGGTATTTATAGTTAGTATTACCACTATTCACATGAACTTCTATTCAGAGAGCAAATTTCTACCTATTCAATGAAAAGTGGATTGTGTTTCAATATTAAGTAGGGTGGTGCCTAGTAAAGTGATTTCTTCTTGAAAGAGTTTTGCACTAGAATAAATTATTGTATGATTATGGCGGTGGTCTAACATGGCCAAAGGCAAAGTGGGAGACTGCTTACCAAATCCTGCTTCTTCCTCAGCCTTAATTTCAATCAGCTCCTAGCGTGTCATCAATGCCTGCCCTAAGCACCACCCCCACTCACAGGTTACATATGTCCCCCATACCCCATATTCTGGTCAAAGGACACAGCACAGCCACCATGGGTTGTGTGCTCCTTCCCAAGCCCTCATCTCAATAAACCTGTTTGTTTTGTACTTTTACTTCTCTATTGCACCAGAAAACCCTTTCACTTCTCTCTTATATTTTAAATTTAAATGTAGCTGGATGCCCTAAAAAAGATACTCCAGGGGGCTGGGCGCATAAGCGCCTGCCTTGCAAGCAGGCAGTCGTGAGTTCAATCCCCAGTACCAATAAAAAGGAAAAAGACAAAAAAAAAAAAAGATATTCCAGCCTTTTTATGGGTTTTGGCCAAGCATATTATATAAAACATTATCAACAACGCCTGGAAAGATGGCACATGATCTTGCTAGCCTGGAAGTTTCCAACTGTGATGGTTAACGTCGGCCTCAGAGCTGTCCTTGGAGACATTCATGGATCAGCAGCCATCAATCAAATATCATTTAGGAAAAGGTGACTTTCTTTAAGAATGATTCTCATATTTTGAGATACATTCACTCTTTTGGGTTATTCCTGTTTCTTTTTGGGGAAACTCGAGATGCAGTGTAGATACTCTGTCCCAAGGACAAGAGAAATTCCCTGCATGGCCAGGAAGATACAGGCATCCAAAATTCTCCAGCCAGCTGACCTCTGCTTCTTTCTGTCAAATATGCAAACAGAGGACTCATGTCAGATGTGAATGGAGCCAACTCTTCTACAATGCTCAAAGAAAGCAGACCAACTGCGCTTCAGAGATGCTAGAAGCAGCTGGCCCTCCTCAAGGTGCAGAGGAAAAGGCATGTGAAACCACCTTTGGGAATGAGTCACCCTGAGCATCGAATTAAGTGTTCTTTCTCCTCAACCAGGGCAGCTCCTGGGGTTCAAGGATGTGGGTGAGACTGGGAGAGAAAAAGGAGCCCTTCTCCACTGTCGGTGGGAATGTAAACCAGTGCAAGCACTGGGGAAATCAGCATGGAGATTCCTCCAAAGTAAAATGAACAATTTCACCTGGCCCAGCCATTCCCCTTCTAGGTATCTTCGCTGAAGAGTTAAAGACATCATATTACAGGGATACATTCATTCCCAAGTTTATAGCAACTCACAATACCTAAGTCTTGGAAAAGGCCTGTATGTCCATCAACCAATGGATGGATAAAGAGTATGTGCCTTTATACACAACAGTACTTTTCCATAAAGGATAAACTTGAGTCCTTTGTAGGAAAACAGACACACCTTTATACCATAGTGTTCAATGAAACAGTTCAGACACAGAAGCTTAAATATTACATGGATTTGCTTATATGAGAAACTCAAAATATAAGATAGATCATAGGAAGTAGGAGATAGAAGGCTTCTTAAATGGGAAGAAGATCAAGAGATGGAGGGAGGGGAAGGAAAAGAATGAGAATGAACAGAAGGAATTAAGATGTGTTACACATGAGGCAAGCAGGTGCCATCGGTTCCAGAGGCTGGGCGGCCTGGTGTTAAGTGCCCCCGCACCTTCTCCAGGACTCCAGCTAGTTTCGGACCCTCGCTTAACTGTGGGAGTAATAAAACCCAAAATGTGTAAATGTTATTGCAAAAAAGAGAGGAAAAGAAAGTGCTGTAAAGGACACAACTGCAAGGGTGCTTAGGTGTGTAAGACAGATGATCATATTACTAATTTTTGTTGGATTATTGAAGACAACTGTTCGCAATCTCACTGTTTGAATGTCCATCTTGTATGCTTGAATTTTGTAACTTGAACAAGTATTTCTAAGATGACAACAACTATTAACTAGTGATTTCTTACTGTTTATTTTTTTTGAAATTCTGTATTACTTGTACCCTTTTACTGTTTTGTTCTCTTTAAATAAAATTTTTTAAAAATTTTTATCAAATATACATAAAAAAAGACATGTTACATACATGATCAGCTCCACTAAGTAATGCAAACTTGATGTACTGCAAATATGGGCTCATAAAAAATTTACTTGAAAAACTGTAAAGACAAAGGTAATCAGAAAAAATGTCAGTGTTGATTGACTGAAAAATAATTTCTGCTTTTTAATTTCTGTTTCTTGCAGTACGCCTACTTTAAATTGAACTAGAGAGAGATAATGGTCGAAATAGCAACTTTTTTTAAAATTTTATTTTAAAAAACGAAATAGAAAAAGGACAGAAATGATACAATTTCCAAAAAATTAAGGCACAAATACTAGTTAATATATTGAATATTGTTAAATTAGGAGTAGTTGGTCAGTTTTACTCAACTGTTTTTTCATTTACCATCTAGCCTCAATATTGTTTGGTTGGAATAAGCCTCAGATATTTTAGGAGACATACAAAGGGAGGAGGAAGAAAAAGAAAGAAAGAAAGAAACAGAGTAACACAGAGAAATTAAGAAAGCAGTTAACAGCCGGACGTGGTGGCTCACGCCTGTAATCCCAGCACTCAGGAGGCTGAGTCAGGAGGATCCTTGCCAGTTCAAGACCAGCCTGGGCTACAAAGTGAGCTCAAGGCCAGCCTGAATTGCATAGGGAGCCCCATCTCAAAAAAGACAAAAAAAAAAAAAAAAAAAAAAAAAAAAGAAATCAGTTAACTATGTTACCAAGGACACATCAATGAAGAAGGGACTCTACGTGACATCATAATTACTCCAAGGTAGTCTTATAAACACACAAATAACTAGATGTCATCCTAATTAAATTTTATGATATTTTGGACTTCCATAACAATAAGCATTTCAGCAGAATTTTCCCAATCAAGAGAATCAGCCCTTTGTAATAAATGGAACACACAATGTGCAGACACATTCTGTATCATGATGCAAACTCTCATATGTTTCAATTTATAAAATGACTTACTGAATACAAACAAGATGGCACTTTGTTTGGATTAATTATAATTAAGCTTGATGATGCTTTTGATATTACCCCTTTTCTCCTGCGTTGACTTTTTCTACAGCTCTCTTAAGCCAAGGAACTGTTGAATATTCTGATGACGGGTTGATGGGATCCATGGGAGAGGTATGGTTCAGGTACCCCACGTTGTACAGACAACCCAGTCAGAATCTTTGGCTCATAAAAGCAGAGAAATTCCTTTCAGAACATTCTCTACAGGAAGGCTTTCTAAAACCAGTGAAGTGTATCTGGTCAGTCAAAACTTAGCACCAAAATTTTGTACAAAGTTAACTTTTCCTCTTTTGGTGCCAACTCTTGATTTTAAAAAAAGAAGAGTTTCTAAATATTTACTTCATAAATTTATAAAACAGAGAGTGTTACATAGTAAAAATGATTGCATTTATAGGCCTGAAAGAATTACATAAATTTTGCTCAGTGACCAAAAGGAAGCTGTAACTATGGATGGGTACCAGTGTGAATTCAATCTATTCTCAATAGATGGTTAGGGCTAGGAGGGGCTATGGGAATTCAACAATCCTGGTCTCTGCACATCTCTCTACCCTCTCATTGTGGAGAGTCTTGGTTGCTAACAGATTTGTTTTTCAGTTCAGAGCAGCCTCTACGCTCCTGTTTCTCTCCAGCAATAACTGAAAGGCATACAATTATTGCAGAGATTTTTGAGTAAAATTTCTGTTAGCTGTTCAGGTTTAGGTATCTCACAGTTCCTGTCTTCCTGTGAGATGCATAAGCTCCATTCTGCTATTTGAAGGTGGTCACTTTCTCCAGTCACATGTTCAGCTATGTCTGCTTAATCCCATTTCCATGGTGATTGATCTGTCTGCTCTACACTGCACCAGGCTGGAGGAGTTTAAAAGTTGAATCTAGCTCCTTAGGATGTAGGCTGCTACTAAATTTGGGAAAGAAGATGAGATGCTGGCTTAAAACATCGAGCCAAGTTTATGAAAGATGTTTATCCAACCAGGGTCATATTTTGGGGTCATAAGTCCTTTGTGAATGAAAGGTTGGCATTCTCTTAATACATGATAGTGATGTGCAAAGATCTGTGCATATGCCTGCAGAAACACAGACTGATACACACAATTACTTTACAAGTATGCACATCTATTATCAGGTAAAGAGGCCCCAGCTTTGGGGGGCCAGACTACATGGAATAGCAAGAAACCACCCCAACCAAACATCAGTCCCTTGATAGCTGTATGTCCATACTGGGTGACTTTTATGCCATCTGGAGAAGAGCTGGGTGATACATTCACTCTAAATGGACACAGTTCAAAAGACACTAATGTCGAGCGAAAATACTTAATTGAAACATCCAGTGAAGGAATGGAAAGGAATATAAGGGTATTATAAAAGTTTATAACATCTAGCCCAATAAAGGAGAAAACAGAATGGCAATGCTCAACCTAGCTAAAATAAAATGGAAACCAAAACCAAACAAAATCTGGGAGGAACAAAACAAAAGGCATAAAGAGAAACTGACACAAATAGAAAGTGCACGTAAGGTGATAGCAATAAGCCCATAAGCACAATCGATAGGAACGGAATAAACTCCAAAGAGAAAAGATAAAGACACGACCTTGCTTGAAAGGAAGAAGGGAAACCAAACCCTAATTATTTATTAACCGAAGGGATAGTGGCCTAACTGCATCTACATCAGATTAACATTACATTAAATCATTTTTCCACAGTAAAAACATATTGGAACATATGTCAGGTTCCAAGTAGATATGATCAATTTAAATCTATATGCATGCAACTGCATGGTCCTGATGCAAAAAATTAATAAAAGTAAAAATAGACAAATGTACCAGAATACTGGGAGAATGCACAACAGCAGTATAAGTGACACAGGAATTCAAAACAACAGGAAAACAACAATCGTTACTGTAACGCCTCTTCTTGTTTTCAAAATAGCTGCAGATAACTTCAGACATAGGAAAAATCGAACAGAACACAATAGAATAGAAACAATAAAAACAAATCAATGAATGTAGTAAAGGACTTCAAAACAAGTCAACAGTAAATCCAAAATGGCTACCATGATGTTTTACTATCTTTTAAATTTGATAGCTGCTCCTACTATCAGATTTAACATAAACAAAACAAAAGAGAATAAAACCCAACCCAACAAAACAATGAAAATCATATGGTTTCCAGGAGGGAGTCGTTTCCTGGTGAGCCTTGTTCTCTCCCTCTGAAGTCCACTAGTGGTGCTGACGCATACAGAGAGGCTTGGGTCTGGCCATTCCCACCCTGTCGGCAGCCCACAAATGGCACAGCTTGCCAGGCGGGGATCTCCTGGTGAGGCCTGGCTCTCTCCCCAACTCTTGCCTTTCTTTTATTAATAAATTTTATTGCTGTCTTAAAGTGTTTCCTACTGACTTCAATTTTAAGAACTAGAAAGGAATACAAAATAGTTCATACTTGCCAGATATTACATATGCAAATATTTACTAAATAGTGTCAAAATTCACATGTGGTATGTTATTAAATCATGTGTATAGATTTTTTTAAAAGGGAATTAGCCACATTAAAGAATGCTGTTTGTACTAAAAAGTGTCTACAAACCATAAATGTGATTTTTTAACCTTAGTGTTTCTTTGTTGGGACACAATGAGCTTTCAGCTCAAAGAAAAATGTCTGAGTGCACATAATTGGGCCAAACTGTCCTGGCAACAAAAGCAAGAAAATTGCATCAAACTGCATTCTGAAGCTTACCAAGAAAACAACTTGAAACCACTTTGAGTCAATTAGATTTTGCTTGATGTTCCTTTGTGTTCCTCTGTTTCTACTGATGAGGGTTAGGAATAAGCGTATGCACATAGACTTGAAAGTGGGAAAAAAATCTACCTAGGGCACCAGTTCATAACATCCCTAAATGGAGCAGTTGAGAGAAAAAAAAAAAAAAAAAAAAAACAAACATGCGGGCCTATGTTTAACACTAAAAGGAAATGACATGGTATAAAACACAAGACTGCAACAGGAAACATCACAAAGTGGTTCAGGTGGGGTTACACAATCAACTCAAACTGAAACTGATCAGACGTTCTCTAAGTTCAAATTGCTGTGATCAGGAACATCTCTAAGGATGGGCACTTTCTGTCAATGGGGTTTCAAAAGCCAGAATCCTTAAGTGATTGACCATATCTATTTATCAGCACTGTGGTCAGGACAAAATTCATTTAGCGTAGTGCAGCATTATGATATAAAATAAAAAGTTCTAAAATACGTAATAAAAATTTCATCCTTTATGAATCAGGAAGGCTGGCCAAAGTGGATGTTAACATTTTATGGAAGTGAACATATATCTTCCCCAAATTAGTTTTATCATAAGCATGTTTCTATGAACACATCATAGTCTCACAAATTCAAACAATGAAAATTCATATTTTCAATCTGTGCTCAGGAGGATCTGTATTTTGAATGGATAGCATATCTATGTCTATGTATGTATCTATCTCAATCACTCTGAGTCAATTCATAGAAGCTAGCTCAGCTGGTGTGTAATGAGTGAGAAAGGTATTAGGTGAGGATCAGCACGCTAATCAAATCCAGTTGCTTTTCTCAGAAACAGAAGTTTTGGTGGAGAACGGTCATGTCCAGTTCCACAGAGATTGATGCATGTATTGTCTATGGCTGCTCACGGAGACCACATTGCCTATAAAAGTCAATCCTATCTAATATTTGCCCCTTTACAGGAAAATGTTTATGAACCTCTAATTTATAAATGGTAATTTCAAATGCAACCATGCATCAAGATCCTTGGAGATTCATTGATGCATATTGCTAGACCCCGCTAATAAATTCAAAAGGCCTTAACTGAGACCTATATTGGACCTATATCTGGATTTTATAGTGGACAGTTGATGCTGATGTTGCTGGTCCATGAATCACACTGTGAGGATCCCTAGTTGAAAAGTATGACAGTCTTGATGTAGGTAGAAACATTCATTTTAACTAAGTCAATTTCCTCTGCCCAAAGCATAACACCATAGCATGGCTGATATGCTGCTGAATCAAGCAATTGCTATTATACTTTCAGTCGACTTAGTATTATCCATCTCATTATTCCTATCAGTAACTCTGAAATTTATCACCCTCCACCTTCTTTGCTTCACCAAAGAGGAATGAACATCATGCCAGAAAGCAAATGGCTTGTCTTGAAATAGACCTGGAGTCAATACAGAAGTAGCAGATGGTTGACGGCCAGATTTCTTTAGTAACTCTGCGGATTTCCAAGTCACAGGATGTTTATCGACACCCTGGAATAGCACCATTGAAAAATAATCAGAAGTCTTCATACCCTTTAACAGACTGCCTTGCCTCTAAGCACCTGACAGACATAAGGTAAGTATTTTCCAAATACTCAAGGTTTCCCTGTCTCATCCTCTGACCTGCGAAGAAAAAAAAAAAAAAAAAAAAAAAGCTTCACATGTATGCTTTCAAATTTGAAGCTCTCAGCAATCCAGAGCACCATTTGTTTCCCTATTTGAAGAAAACACAGTAATGGCTTTGAAACCTTTCAAAAATAAACTAGCTTTCTAAAGGAAGAGTGATGATTGCATTTTCCGCGACTATACTCTGTTTACTTGGAAAACAGAATTACTATGCTAGGGTTTTTAAAATTCCTCAATTAGCAGGAGATAAAT